CCCAAAACCTAGCCCAGCACCCTAAAAACCAGCCTAGCATCCCCAAACTCCAGCCCAGCATCCCCAAGCCCCAGCCCCAGCCCAGCATCCCCAAAACCCCAGCCCAGCATCCCCAAACCCCACCCCAGCATCTAAAAACTCACCCCAGCATCCTAAAACCCAGCCCAGCACCCCAAAACCCACCCCAGCATCCTAAAACTCAGCCCAGCATCCCAAAACCCAGCCCAGCACCCCAAAACCGGGGCGGGGGGTGGATTTTACAAAGCGTGGCAAATCCTGAGGCAACACAACATGGGCCGAAAGCAACTGCTCGTCCAGGAGATGCTCAAACCCTTGGCCAGGCGCTTCCCCCGACCCCTCTGCATCTGCTGCAGATGCCCGCAGATCCCGAGCATTTATCGAGCGCTCGCCCTCCCTCCCCGAGCCCGCTCCCGCTCCCTTTTCTCCCTTTCTTCCCCTGTCGTTTTGGGCGTCTTGTGGTTTCAGCCTTCCCCACCCCAGCGGGGCCAAACTTGCCGGCAGCGGCAGAACACAAAGAGGTGGCTGCAAAGGCGCTGAACCGGTGCCAAAGCCGCCGGGCTGATCGGAGGCACACCCTACAGAAAATCCCAGGACTGGGCTCTTCACCCTGCACGCTGCTTTACCCCCAGCACCAGCCATTCTGGTTTAGGAGCTCCTGACACCCACTGGTTACGACAGCCGCCTCCGCAGCTAACGCCAAGAGCTTGAACTGGAGCCATCCCGTATCTCGAAGCTGCAAATGGTTGGGTTTGACTTAATCAGGCTGCAGAGCCGGCACGGGAAAGGGCACGCAACCCTGGCCAGCGGGAAGCTCAGCACAACCTCACCGGCCTGAAATCGAGACAATTCCCACCCCATTAATAGGTGAGCCCTGGAAAGACGAGGCGGCAACAGCCCAGGAGTTTGCACAGGGCATCTGCACCCTACAGCCCATCTACGCGGCGATAACCCCTGCTGCAGTTATCGCTAGCAAACATCTCAGCCACAGGCACCGAAGGCGCCCGAGTGGGAACGCTTCCCTGCCTGCGGTCATCTGCAAAAGCAAAATAAATACCGAAAGCTGAAATTCAGCCCCCCCCTCCGCCCGGAGCGGTAGCAGCGCAGGGCTCAATTAAAACCTATTTTGGGGCCGTCGGCTGTACGCAGCCCGGCTGCTGGACCACACGGCCGACGATGACTTCCACGCGGGGAGAGGAGCCCTACTCGTCACGCACAGCCAGGCATCTTCTGGCCTACACCTACTAATTAGGAGAGGGAGTTCCCACCACGCCTATTCTGGGTTCTTCCAGACAAGCAGCTTTTGACATTTTTGCAAACTTTTCTCTGAGCAAATGCCAAAATGAATTACGCAGGAAACCAGCAAGTCCTTAAAGTCTTCGTGGAGGTTTGACAGGTCGCAGAACCAACCCTTCGCTCGGGCAAGTGCGCCGTAACCATCGCCTCGGGCCGGTTCGAACCCCACCAGCCCAAATCTGATGGGCCTACAAGCAGGCCGGTTTGCATTCTTCCCAAACTTTTGGGGGCCTGACGCTCATTTTCATTAAGCCCCTGTTACAACATCACCCGGAGCTCTCAAGAACCTGGAGATGGGTGTAGCTGTAATTAGCATCCACTTAAAAGCACCTTCACGCTGCCGGCGCAGCGCAATGGGCTATAGCGTGACAGGATCGGGCCCTCACAGACCCTCTGGATACGACAGCGACTTCTCGTTATTTATAGGAGTTTCCCCTTGATTTTAATCCCATGAAACTCTTGGGCTCGACCACGTCTTGCGGCAGCGAGTTCCACGAGTGATGCTGCAGCTGCGCGGGGAGAGCCAGGCACGTGCTTCCAGCAGCACGTTTCCCTCTCCTATTAAATTATCCATAGAACCAGAGAATCGTTAAAGTTGGAAAAGACCCTTAAGATCATCGAGTCCAACCGTTAACCTATCACTGCCAAACAGAAAAAGCTCTTACCCGGGCCGCGCGCTCTTACCTGTGTTGTACGCCGTGGGCATGGCAGAGAAAGGCAGCCCCTGCGTCAGCAAACTCGGAGTAGCCACAGAAACAACCGGCGTGGTTAAAGAGTGAGTTGCTTGGGAGACACCTAACCGCTGCGTATTCTGCTGGGGAAGCAAACGGAGAGGGAGTTACAACCCAGGTGTATTTTACTCTGTCGTCCTTGTGGGTTGTGGCCCCCCAAAAACCTCGGGCTGCAGCTGCCCCCCTGGGCATGCACCAGCCTTTTCCAAGCAGCCGAGGCTGATCACAGAGCCCGTGGGACTGAGCAGGATTGATCCTCCGGCCACTCCGCATGGCAACAAAGCCAAGGGCAAACCACACCGGGGACAGACATTTCGGACCCTTGTGACATTCACTTGCAGGTCACTCGGCATCGGCCTCGCGTCACCTTTCTGCCCAGGGCTGGGCTTCACCCGCAAGGACCAGCAACGTTCCTGCAAGCATGGAGGGGGAATAAACAGTGGGATGCCTCAGTCTGTATTCCCTCCGATGTACAAAAAATCACTGTTTCCCAGAGGATGCACTGTGCTCCTCAGGGAGTGAGACAGGTACCGAACAAAACCAGGACCAGCTAACGCGGCGCAGAGCCGACACGTCCTCCTCCCTGCAGCACCCACGTCCACGAGCGTGCCTCTAAGGCAAGCTGGAGATGCGAAGCACCAGTCTCAGGACTTTAAGGCACTCTGGCATCCTTAAACCTAAAATCCAGTGCTCAGCAACCTGCCGGCTTGATGCCCTCATGGGGTTTGGGTGACTCGGGCATTAGCAGGTCCACTGTGGAAAAATTCTGCCCTTGGACCAGTGCATGCCAGCCTCCCCCCGTGGTTTTCCAGGCACTTATGTGGGTGGATCTACGGGTCGGATTCAGCCCTGTTTACAAGGCAGATAATCTGGGCTGTCTCTGCTGATCTGATTTAAATCAGACTCAAGAGGCTTGACTTTAATCTGAAGCACCCCGGCGCACGTCACCCTGTGAAGACTGGGGCAGTGCCCAGCTTAAATCACGCCTGGCATGAGGCTGGCTGCGTCCCCGGGGACGCGGCGGGGAGCCTTCCTCCCCGCTCGCCGCGAGGCGCCGAGGGCTCCCAGGGCCTTTTAGGGTTGGGCATGGGACCCTGCGATGGTTCACGGCCATGCAGGACTCTCCTGGGATAAGGGTGGAGGCTAAAAGCCCTGCCCTTGCCACCTCCGGAGGGTGACAGCACCCCGGCGTGCTGGATTTGCAGCACCCTGCACCCAGATGCTGCCCAGCCCGCAGGTCCCTCCCCGCCACCCAGGGAAGGCGATTACCAGGGCTGTAATTGCTAAAGCCCTGGGGCTGTAGGAGCAGGTTTTCCTGGCCCAAATCCTGCTGGCAACCATCCTCGGCCGTGCCCACTGCCCGCGGGTTAAGGACGCTGCAGAGAAATGCCTTCACGGTGGGCAGGATTCAGCCCTGTCCCTCTCCTGTGCACCGGACCCTGAGCCAGCCCAGCAGGATGCGACCCGCAGCTCCATCCCCTCCGCGCCCTGGTAGCCTTGCACCGGGGCTCTGCGGCTTTCCGGGGAGAGCGCCGGCACGGGGATGAATACGGCTGCGACAGAGGGCTGGGGCGGTGGGACGCTGGCGTATCGGCCCCGGGAACGGGGCAGCAGCCATCGCCGTTACAGCACAAGGCGAGCGCGGGGATGTCAGACCCGGCTGCGCCGTAGGAAGCCCCCAAGTTTTCATCCCGATTCATGCAGGTAGGAGGTGCAGAGGTGTGCAAGCTGCCCCCCGCCCCGCGCCACTCACACCGCCGTGCACCTTGCAAAATGCTCCCGGTTGCAAAGTTACAAAACCATGCAGGCATGCTCCCGGTGAGATCGCTTGTCGCCGTGGGCTCGGTGGATGGATCCTGCTCTACCCTTCGGATTAGGAGCGTGTAAGAGAAATGGGGGGACGCCTCTCTGAACCCACTAAAAGAGCAGACCGCGCTCGGAGCCTAACGCTGTCAGGAGCAAACCCACGAGGTTGGCGGGGGCTGAGAACTGCGGGCAAAGGGTTAAGGGCAGCGGGGCAGGTCTCAGCGGAGGGGCAGCTGACTCATCCCGCTGCCTGTGTGTAAAGAGGTGGGAGTTGCCATTTAGAGAGAAGATCTGGTGTGTAGGTTGAGCAATATGGAAGGAACAAATCTGGGGAGAAGGTTAGCAGAGCAGGGGGGGGGCATCTGCACCAGGCGGGATGAATCCGCGGAGCAGCCGAGGCAACGCTCTGCTTTCCCCTTCCCGATCCAGCTGTGCTGAGGTCCCTGTCCCCCACTCCTGGGTTTCGTCACCCTCCACCTCCCCGCTGCCAGCTCAGCTTGGGCGAGGGCTGTTCTTCACTTCAGGCAAAAATCAGCCGGGTTAGCTCAGACTAACAATTAAAACCGTTCATGCCAACCCGGCTGATTTTTGCCTAAAGCAAGCTGCTCCTCCAGCTCGGAGACAGGCAATGCCCTCTGGCAGCGGGAACGGTGATGAGCAGATGGGGAGGCGGGTGGTGATTGTTTTCACTCTGCAGATGGGGAAACTGAGGCACGGAGCTGCTGGGAGGAGGGCCATTAAGCAAGAAGGGTTTTGGAGCATGGAGAGTGGCAGAATTCAAGTCTGCCAAAGCCCTGGCCAATCCTTCCCCTGGCCAAGAGTGTCTCCTTGCAGGCTGCGAGAGGTATTGGCTTACTCCTGTGTTTTTGGAGAGCTTTTCCCTGGCTGCGTTAGCTGCATCCTACAGCGGCTCTCGCCCTTTCCTCGCTGCGCTGACCTGTCGCCCATCTGCCCTGCACCAGAATAGCAACAGAACAGGGTGAATCATTGCCACAAACAAGGTGGTGTTCACTTTGCTGGCGGGGGGAGAAAAAAAGCCGTAAAAATAACACAGAAAACAGCCCCTGTGCACAAAGAAGGTTTAGGGAGTGCACTAGCCAGCCAGTGGATTTACACAGGCTTTAAATAATATCCTTAATATGGGAAGCGCCTGATTTACTCCCTATCTCTCATGTGGTGGCAGTGGGCCAGGTCTTCCCGTGCTGTAAACCGCGGTGGCTCCAGCGAAGCCCGCGGGGCAGGGTCCCGGGCAGCGGCGGTGCCCAGGCTGGCTCCGCGCAGCCCAGAAGGGACCCGGGCTGACCCCCCCCCGGGGAAACCAGCACAGCTTTTTTGGCCTCGCTGGAGAAACAGGCGCTGTACAGCTCCTGTCAGCTCCTCCTTTTCCATAGGGAACCTGATTTTCCTAAAAGGGCGTTTTTCTCGGGATTGATTTTCTGTGGCAGGACTGGATGTGACATTTGCGCTGGCACCCGCGTCCCGCCGCGTTCCCAGCGGAGGGCAAAGGGGCCGGTGTCCACCCTCTACGTGCGCCCCGCGCCTTTGCCGAGCCAGGGCAGGGTGCGGGGACCAACAGGACAAGCGGCCCACGTCCCACCCCGCCGCCATGCGCGCTCAGCGGGGAACTCACCAGAGCCAAGTGGTCCTCCGTCTGCCCGCGGGAGAACAGAGAGAAAACCGAGAGGCACCGTTAACTCCACAGCCCCGCCAACCGCCGCGCCGCCACGCTCGCCCGCACCGCGCCCTCGCCTACCGCGGGGCACGTACGGTTACGCTTGTATGGGTTACGCTTGTGCCCGGCGCAGGGCTTTGTACTGTGCTGGTTGCAGGGACAGGCTTTGCACCGTGATGTTTGCATCCAGCATGGTGCAAACAGGAATCCAAGCCTTCCTCCTCGGGTCTCCCCGCCGGCACGGCCCCGGCCAGCTCCCACCACTACGGCATGGATTAGGTGTCCGCACCGCATCTGCTCCAGCGCAAAGTCCACCCTGCAACCAGTCTGCTGGCAGGGGACACGCTCCCACCCCATCTCCTTGCAGACCTCTGCCGGGCACTCACCAAATGGTGCATCAACCCCTTCCCGCTCTGCGAGGTGATCACGCGTAAATCCGGCTTGCGGCTGTTGGTGGGGAGCTGCGTGCTGTGGGAGGGCGGTGGCGGGGACTTGGCAGGGATGATCTTGCCCAAGCTGCTGCCGTTGGAGACGGGAAGGAGACCTGGAGAGGCTCTGGCACTCACGTAGCCGTTTCCTGCAGGGAAGTTGGTGACAGAGAGGAAGGAGGTGAATGCACGGCGGTGAAGGCACGGCGACGGTGAATGCACGGCGGTGGTAAATGCATGCACGGCGAGCGGTGCCGCAGTGGGGCTCCACGGCTGCTCCTCCTCGGGAGAGCAGCACCACGTCCCCCCGGGCTCCCCAAAACCCTCCTGCACACCAGGCAGCTCATCCGCAGCCCCGAGCAAGCTCGGCAGCACCGGCAGCCACTCCAAAGCCTGCGGCGGGTGCGTCCTCCCCACCGAGACCAGGCAAACCTGCCCCGGGCCAGGCAGGGGCAGAGGCAGGGGCAGAGGCAGGGGCAGGGCAGGCAGCCGGCCCCGAGCTCCCAGCGCCCGGGGCAGCTCCTCAACCTGCAGGAACCCATGATCATTACTGCAATAACAACCAATAAATATTACAGGCCTGATTTGCAGCAAGGCCTCTTTATGCTGCTCTGGCAGGGTACTGGGGCCCTAGCAAGGGGGGATAATTACTGTTACGTTCACTTTTAAGGTCTCTTTATGGTACCGGAGCAGAGAAAAGGGGCTGTGGCAGAGCGAGGACTCGGTTCACTTATCCCACTGCCCCTTTGAAGATCTGAGGTTCCCTCCTCCTCCTCCTCCTGCTGCCCCACTTAAGGATTTTATGTGCAAAGGGGAGGGGGGGGGAGAAGAAAGGAAAGGAAGAAAAAAATTTAAAAAGGAAAAGATTTGATGAACATCAGGAAAGGAATAAATTGGATCAGATTACTGTTCTGATGAGGGTTTTTTTTTTTTTTTATGAATAGGCCCCAAAGATAGAAAGGCGTTTAGCAATCACCAGGATTCAGCCCTCATATTCATTGCACGTTAGACCGGGAAAAATAGGTCGCTGATTGCATTATTAATCACATCTACCATTGCGCTACATCTGCATTTCAGCAGGCGGCTGGTGGCAGTGACGCCGCAGCCGTGGCGCGTGCTCATCGGGGGCCAAGCGCCAGCCGCTGCCTCTCCCAGAGCTGTCCCAGGGCCGGACACATCGGTGATGGGGTAAACTGGGCACGGGAGACGGCCACGCGCCCTGGGAGCCACGGGTCTGATCCCACCGATGCTGCCGGGGACGAGAGATGCTGCCCCACCGGGCGCCTGGGAGCTGCCCGTCAGGGATGCCCATGGTGGCATCCCTGTATCCGTGTCCCTGCCCGAGGGACGGGACCGGCTTTCCCGTCCCCAGCAAGGCGTCCTCCCAGTCCTGAATCACCATCAGCAGCCGTGCATAAGGCACGTGCCCGGCACCTCAGGTCCCGGGTACCTCCGTGCACCGTGAACTACACGCATTTTGCTTGCAAGGCCACCGGCTTTTATATTTATTAACAACGAAAGTGCATAAAATTCCTCGGGTGACCTTCGCTACCCACAGTGCCGGCAAAAGCCGACGGAGGCAAAGCCAAAAGAAATGTTAAACCCCTCGATATTCTCCTTCCCAAGGTGGCACGGACACGGATGCACACGCGGCTCTCATGGGAGCTGCCACTTTGAGGTACGCCACGGTATCGTGCGCGTCAGCTGGGGCTCGGGGTGGCCCCGGTGCTGGAGGGGAGCAGGTTCGGGTCCCAGCACCGCCACTCACCCCCAAAGGAGCTTCCCTGGCAGGGGATCTCAGGCGCTGCCATCGGAGGAGTCCCCCCAGCCTGGATCCAAGCTGGAGAGAGAAGGGCTGTGCTCCCGCTGGGATTTCGGGATAACCGTGACCCCAAGGGGTCCAAAAGCGAAGCCCCCGGGCTGCCTTTGCACCACCCTGGTGTGAATTTGAGCCTGGCAGCACCCCGTGCCCTCACAAAGCCGGGGATGGCCAGGGCACAGCATCAAGCAGAGTGGGCAAGGTGCTTCCCACCCCCAGAGGCACCAAGGACGGCGCACGACGGCGCACGCCGTGGTGGGCAGGTGGGACGCGGGGACGCAGCCCGCATCGCTGCAGGATCGGGCCAGAGGCACCCGGCGGCTGATGACTCAGAGGCAGCAGGTGATCGCTCGGTGCCGCAGAGATTGCAAGGGAGGAGGAGAAGGAGGAGGAAGAGATGTCCCAGGTACCCGAAAACTGCAAGCACGGTGCCAGAGCCGTGCTCCCCTCCTGCAGCCGGCGTGGGAAGCCCTGGGGATGGCAGGGGTCCGGGGACGGCGGGGGTGCGGGGCTGGCCGCGGCCGGGTTGTCCCTGCTCCTCACGCCCGTTTCCTGGAGCGGCGGCAGGAACGCAGGGAATGCTCCGGTGACGTCAATGCTGACATTCACAGGCCCTGCCAAGCTCCGCGCCACCGCGGCTGCTCCCAACAGCTGACGTGGGGGCGGCCTCGGGGGGGAAAAGGGGCCGCGAAGGTGGCTGGGGACCGCGGCACGATGGCCCCTTCCCTCTGCCTTCGAAGGAGCAGTGAAGCTCCATCTTGGGCACTGCAAGGGCGCCGGGGAGACGCCAGCCCCACGAACGGCCCTGGCAGGGTTTGCTCTGGAGGCACAGCCGGGGAGAAATTGCCCCGGCGCTGGCATGGCTGCTGCCCGGCACAGGGAAAAGGTTATTCCTGGCAGCGGCCACGGTGCAGGGGATGGGGATGGGCGGCCGCGGTGCTGCAGAACCGCATCTGGACCAGCCCTGTCCGTGCAACCGGTGGAACCCGAGCTCCAATTTGGTTTTAATTGGGGCAACACCGAATTCCACGCTCCTCCTCTGTGCTGTCGGCTGGAGCCCCATCGCGAAAAGCCCCGAGCGGGTGACGAGCCAGGCTCCTGGTGCAAGGCTGCCTTCCCCGCTCCGCCTCGCCCGGGGATGGACGGCATCCACCCCGCTAAGCCCTGGACCGCGGCCCGTCCTGCCCCAGCCCGCAGCAGCGGTGCCGGTAGCAGCAGCTGCTTCCCAGCGGGACCCGGGGGGGGGATGGACGGCATCCACCCCGCTAAGCCCTGGACCGCGGCCCGCCCTGCCCCAGCCCGCAGCAGCGGTGCCGGTAGCAGCAGCTGCTTCCCAGCGGGACCCGGGGGCCGTCGCTGGTTTTTGGGTTGTACCTACGCAAGCGCCGGCCCCAAAGACCTCACCCTGCAGACAGCGGAGGCAGACTGCGGGGAAGGAGGTATTATTAGCGCATTTTATAGCTGGGGAGCTAAGCCACAAGGTCTGAGCCTCGTTAGCACTGAGGCTCTCGCAGTGGAAAGGGACCTTAATGAGCTTTTTTCCTTGCAGTAAAGTTCCTTTATAGGGCCCAAGCGCAACGAGGAATCAGGTGTTAAGTGACTCACCCGAGGTCAGGGGAGGAACTGGTTGCAGCGCGGGGAGCTAAACCCAGAGCTGCCCAAACCATGCTCCTCAGTGGCCATCTCAGTCGTCCCCTTGATTTGCAGCTCTCCCAAAGACCCCGGGGAGATGCCGGCCCCCAGGATGCGCACCCCGCTCCTGCTTCGGTCTCTGGGGTCCCCACTGAAACCAGCAGCCCCCAGCAAAGGTGCTGGTCTGGAGCTCCATGTGCCAAACCCTCCCGCTGCCAACAGCGGCAAAATCTTCCCTACCGCTTCTCCATCGACCAACGGCGCTGAACAGCAAAGCAAAATCCTACGTTACGTGTGGGGAAACCGAGGCATGGAGAGGCAAACAGAGCCGAGGGCGCAGGTCCCGGCGCCCACACCGCTTGCCGAAAGGCAACGGCTCCTCACTTACCCACGGGGCTTGGGCAGGCTCCGTTCGTGTTGTTCAGGTCTCCCCCGAGCATCGCCCCTGCAAAGCAATGGGAAACACGGGGTCACCGTCCGCTCAGAAACAGGGTGAGCATCCCTCCTTTGGCGGGGGAGGAAGAGGGGGAGCACGAGGAAGGAAGGCAGAGGAAAATGAACGGTGGTGCCTTCCTGGGGAGAAAGTCCTGGGCAAAATGAGCAGCATTCCTGGTGATCAGGTTGGGAAACATTATCCAGGCAGATCCGTTTCCTTTGGGCAGGAGCCAGGCAGCACAGGAGCCCGCTCCAAAGGAGGCGGCTTGGAAAACACTGCGGCTATTTTATTCCAAGCCTCCCTTTGGGGGACACGGGGCCAGTGCTGCCGGGGAAGAGAGCCCCAGCAGCAAGACGTGAAACACTATCTCCCCTGTAATGTTCGCACCGAATGGAAACCATCCCCGAGCGCTGCCAGGACGCTGCTACGATTCGGCCTCCCACGGTCCCAACGCTTGGAAAGCGCTGCCGCTCCCCGCCGTGCCGGGAAAAACCGTACCAGAGGCCTTTTTATCCCCAGTAAACTGAACGTTTTGCCTCGCCTGCAAGAAGATTTCATTTTTTTCTGCCTTGTTATTGAGTTATTGCTGAAAGCCACCTATTCACAGCCTGGCCATGCCACGGGCGGTGATTTCGGCCAACAGCCGGCACGGAGGCTCCGGAGCTGCGACCGCAGTCATCCCAGAGCCCTGGGCAGGGGAATGAGGAGCCTCTGATCCCAAACCCCACCTCCAACCACCGCCCAACCCTTCTCACCCCAGAGGGGGAAACCCGAGATGGAAACCTTTTTTCCAGCCCCCGGCTCTCGGGTCCGGGCTTGCAGCGAGAGGCTGAGCCGCTGCCGTGCAGGAAAGCGCATTTGGTCCCCACGTGGGAACTTGATCAGGGATGGCGGTGGTCCCAAAAATATTTTACAGCTTGAGAAAGGGCGAGGTGACCCCCAAAATGTGGCAGCCACGGCCCTGCAGCGTCCTCCCTTCAAGGGACAGGGATGTGAAGTCCTGGAGGAGGGACCCCACCAGGATCTGGGGGCTGTGCCCTGCTGCGGGACCCCACTTGCACCCCAGACCTCGGCACCCGCACTGCTGAAGCGGGCTCATCCCCTTGGGCGAGCGATGCCGACCCCGTCCCCAGCCCCATAAACCCCCTTGGCCGCCCTTCTCCCGCGCCGTCCCCGAGCAGACGGCGTCGGCCAGCGCCGAGATACCAACTCAACGCTCTGCTGCGCATTTGCTTTGGAAACAACGCCGCAGCGCTCTGCTCGAGTGCCTTGCTAAAAAAACGTAAGGAAAAAAAAAAGTTCTTCTAACATGCAAGGGCCTGGCTCCTATAAACAGGATTTCTTCCGTGTCCCAGGCAGCGAGTGAATGGGACGCAGATGGCCGGACTTGGAACACCTCTGCGCTCGCAACCGCGAAATTATCCCCCTTCAAACGAACGGCGAGCGAGCGAGATGGAAACGGCGAGCCTCCAGCGGATTCTGCATTACAACGAAGCCTCCCTTTTCTTTCGGCAGAGGGGCCTGCGAGAGGGCAGGGGAGATCCCTGCCGCCGGAGCTACGGCCGTCCCTGCCCGGGGAGGGCTCTGCCGCCCAGCCTGGAGTGAGATGTTGCTCTTTGGGACCGGTCCTAGAGCAGAAAGATGCCTCTCCCTGAGGTCTGGGGGCCTCATCCTGGTATCCGAGCACTTCCAGCCATCCCCGAGACCGTGCAGAGCGAGCAGTAAGCAAACAAGCTGGCTTCGAACCACGGCTCCTGCTGCATCCCAGCCCAGGCACCTCTTTCTGCTCGCTCCGACCCAGCCACCCAACCTGCTTCTGGAGGCACCCCCCAGCCCTTCTCCCACCCCTCCAGCCCCTTTGCAAAGTCCCCCCTGAGCTCTCACAGCCCCCGGGACCGCAGCCAAGTGCCCACCGCCCAGACGTCCGGGCGGTCACCCTCACCGGCTCTGCCATTTGCAGACCATCTGTGACAACCAAAATAGCAGGCAGGGGCTTTCTGCACGCTATTATTATTTATGATCGCACTGCGGGAGAGCCGGGCCGTGGTCACACGTCGTCGTCCCCCCCCTCGCCGCTGCAGGGGACGCGGGTGATGAGCTCCTCTCCCCTAACCTGCCCTCCGCCACCCATCGCCAGTCCCCGCTGGAAACGACTGCTCCCTCCGATCTGTCAGCAGATCCGCATGAGTAATCGCTCGGCGACCAACTGCAACCAGCACAGCCCGACTCAGAAAAGCCCTTTTTAGGCAGCAGTCCCGTGTCACCGGAGTGCCACCGGCGAGCGGGATGCCGGCAGCCACCCCCAAGCCTGGGAACGGCGCCGGGTGACTCATCTCCTTGCGCTGCCCAACCTCAAAACAGATCCCTGCAGGGATCTGGCTCTCGAAAAGACCTTGGTAAGGCGAGGGGGGGGTCGCCCCCAGTTTGAGGCCAAGGCACGAACTGGGGGTATCAACCTCTGACAGGAGGGCAGGAGCATGGGCAACAGCCCTTCCAGGCTGCTCCGGCCACCCACGGGTGCCTGGGCAGGGGATGGAGGCAGCAGGGGTGTCCCCTGCCTCCCGGGATGCCCCGTGCTCGGTGCCGCAGGCCCAGCGAGGCTCTCGCAGAGAGGATGAGGAGTAGGGGGTGCAAAGGGTCACGGCATGGCTCACCTGCGCTGGCCGGCCTCTGTGGCAGCCCCGGGGACACGGTGTTTCTCTGCAGTGCCGGCTGCTGCGGCGAGAGGAGCCGGGGGTCCGTCAGCGAGGAGGTCACCAGGGACTGGGTCACCAGCGAGCTGCCCGGGTTGCTGAACTGCAGGGTGTTTTGGTTGGTCACCGGCACCGTCACGGGCATGGCGAAGTTCGGAGCGGGCACTGCGGACTGAACAGAGAGCAGGGGGTAAAGGGGAGCAGGCGCCGCCGGGCGAGGAGAAGGGGTGAAGTTCCTCGCTTTGCAGGCTCTGAGCAAGAGCGGGCCTGATCCTGCATCACAGTAGCAGCAACACCCCACTGCTGAAAAAGGGGGGACAGTCCGGGGCCCCTCAAGCCCGCATTTCACTGCTGTGCTGCACCCTGCCCATGCTGGCATCTCGAAGGGATGCACCGGAGCCCGGATCCCACCAGGGAAGGCCGGGAAGAGCAATCGTCTCTCCACTCGGACACGTCAAAGCTTTGCAACCGGTTGCTTTGGTCTCATCTTCAGACCGTATTTATTTACCCCCAGTATTTTCAGGGCAGCCTGCGGAGAGGTGGCTGGAAACACCCCAAAGCATCGAGGCGGGCAGCAGCAGGGTGGTTTGCCCCTGCCAGCACCGAGAGCGGCCGAGCTCGGCGCTGCCCTTCATCCCACCGCAGAGGCCAAGCAGCCTGCAGGGATTTTACGAGGCCGTTCCTCATCCGGTGGGATGGGAAGAGCCCTCCCAAAGAGCTGGCAGCAGATCACCAGTTTGGGTTGGCACTGCTGCCGGTGGCCGAGCATCTGGGAAAGGCTCGTTTTGCTCCGCACAGCCCCCGGGTGACACTGGGATCCATCCTGGCACCTCTGGGAGCTGCTGGGAAGGAGGAGGAGCTGTCCCCAGGGAAGCAGGAGCATCACTAAAGCCCTATCCTTGGCTGCGGGTCGAGGACCAGCTTCACCTACCAGCGTCCCCGCTGGAGCCAGGCTCGCCGTGATTATCCTAGCTGTCTTATGTCACTGATTTGCTCTTCGTTAACAGGAGCAGGCACCTGCTTAGAGGCTTTAGCGGGGGCTTTGCTAAAGTCCCACTTTTAATTTGTTCAGGGCTGGAGAGGGAGAGCAGCCCAGCGCCGGATGGGACCATTGCGGGGCCGGAGCTGGGACCCCGCAGGCCGCAGCGGCGAGGGCAGGGGGAGCCGAGCATCCCCCCCATTGCTGGGTGGGGGCTGCTGCCCTGCGGCCCCCTCCCCTCCAGAAATCTGCTCCTAGATGGGTGATTTTCTTTTGGGGTAGAGGGGAGGACGGGAGGAAGGAGTGGGACGGTGCTCACCCACGCCTCGCTGCTGGAAACCCTCCCCGCCAGCCTCTCAAGGGCATCCCGTCCTTCAGAGATATCCCGTGGCTGCAGCCAAGCTCAGAGGACGGCGGCTCTGAGCCTGCGCTGCGGTACCGCTCCGAGGGCCGCCAGCCCGCCGTTCAGAGGGACCGGCCTCGGCGTTTCCCAGACCTTTACACGCTGCCGGGGTGAGCTGTAACGCAGAGCCCTCCCTCTGCTCGGCCCCGGGAGCTTATTCTGCACGGCTGCAAAACCGGGAGGGGGAAGGTTTCTTGGGCGCTGCGTGAGCACCGAAGCAGCGTTGTGTAATAAATCACTGCAAACGCGGCTGCGTGCGTGCACGTTCCCGGGAAAGGAAAGGAAAAGCTAACCCCCGTGCATCGCATCTTAAGCAACGCCGTGATAAAGCCAGGAGGTTGATACACCAACCCGAGAGCAGAGTTCGGCTTTTAATCCGTATCTATCCCATCGCACCTTCAAACAAGCGTCAGGCCGACGCCGCCCCGGCGTGCAGCGCGATGCACACCCAGGCCACCAGCCAAGCGGTCCCAGGTCCCCCCCACCCCAGGGAGGACACAACTAGGGAAGGCGGCTCGCACATCAGTCCAAAATCTGGGGGAGAAGATGCACACATCAGCCAAACCTCAACAATTTCTGTTTTCACTAAAAGCGATTACAAACACCAAATGCAGAAGCCGTGCCGAGGCCTCTCTTTAGCGAACAAAGCTGTTGTTAAGCTTCCCCGGCTGCCGAGTCTGGTTAGTTCTCATCACACACAAAACCAACCCAGCTGGTTAAAAAGGAAAAGCATCTTCTTCAACCACACACGCTCCACCTGCATCACTCAGTCCCTGGCTGCCCAGGGAGGTTTAGTGGGGGAGCCAGATGCTACGCCCTGACTACGAAGCGCCCAGCACCTGAATGCCACCAGCCAAAATGACTTTAGGGCACGGACCGTTCCCTTACGGCACGTCTGGATGCTGCCTCTCGTGATGGGAGCCTGCTTGGAGCCCTCCCTTTGCAGCAGAAAAATACAGATGCTAAGCAGTCCCTGCTTTCTGAGGTCGTTTTGCACCAAGGATAAAGCTCTGCTGCCTTTTTGACCTATTTTGCACCGCAGCAGGGCTCGTGCAAGGCACTGGTGGGGTGCATGTCCGTACCCCCACCCCACACGAGCCTTGGCAGGGTGGAAACCTCCGGGAGGATGAGGCAGAGCCAAGCCTTGCAGAGCTAAGCCTGCACTAAACCCACCCCGGAGGGCTGGGCTTGCTGTCACAGCGGAGCTGCGAGCAACCATCACCGCCTGCACCCCGTTTCGTTTCACCTCCCCAGCTCTCCCAGGGCTTGGGGCAGCCACCCCTCCCCGAGATGCAGTGGATGGAGATGAAGATTTTGGGGTGCTCGGGAGGCTCCCGGAGCGATGCAGCGCTCACCTGCTGAGTCAGCAAAAAAAGAGCCGTGGATTTCACAAGACCCAAATTTCAAGAAAAGCCAGAATTTTAATTTGTGGGGGCTTGCAAAGCACAACACGACAGAGATTTTTTTTGGGGGGGGGGGGGGGGGGGGGGGGATGGCTGCAGCGACTCGGGGCTAATCCCTCTGAAGAAGCCTTGCCTGCATCAATAGTCTCTGCTCCCTTGAACTAACAACTAATTTGAAACGTGTCCCCCTCCTCCTCCCGTCTCCTGACACAAATCCCTTTCAGCGCTGTCCTGATGCCACCCCGGTGACGGCTCCGGGATCACAGGCTAAAACCTCCCTGGATTTCTGCCGCGGCCACCAGCTGCCCCGAGGGCTCGGTGGATTTGGGGGGAATTAATGCGGAATAGCCCAAACCAGGCTGAGCCTTGCAGGGATGCGAGGGGCCGGCACCCAGCGCCTGCTCGCACGGATGCTGGGGTCGTAACCCAGGCAAAAAACCCTTTTTGGGGGAAAAAAAGGGGCAAAAAAGGAGGCCTTAGTCCTGTATTTGCAGGAAAGGGGGGGAGAAGAGGAATATCCTCCTGCGCTGCCCGGCCAGAGCCAAGGAGGCTCAGGAACGCCGGAGCTAATGGGAACGGCTTTCCCAAGGGTTGTTCCCGCTTCTCCGGGTGGGAAACAGGAGGGACCCTCGAGGCCCCTCGTGCGTCTCACCCATCAGAGCCGGGGTGCATTCGGGGCTGCGGGGGGCTGCGCGCATCGGCTCCCAAGGCACAGCACGGCTCCGAAGCAAAGCCATGCAAAATCCAGCCCCCCCGGCACCTGGAGGCATCCGGGGAGGGGAAAGGGGGGGCTGCAGACCACCAGCTACTCACTGCGAGCCGGTAACTCTGCATCATTTTATCAAACTCCTCATCAATCTTTTTATATTTCTCCTCCGTCTGCGGGGTCAACGCAAACACTTCATCCCCTTCCGGGCTCTCGCACTCCCTGTGCTTCTTGTTCAGCGCCTGTTACGTTTGGGGAGGGTGACACAGGGAGGGGGGTGTCGGGGAGGGATCGGGGGGACGAGGTTGGAGGGAAATCGAACAGAAGAAAAAACAAAACAAAAAAGAACATATAATGAAGGTTTTCCGGCCAAGGGGCAGGTACTTACACCGTATCGCTTGAACAGGATATCCAGATCCTCGTTGCCTTTACGGTATTTATCCTCCATCAAGGGGCTCTGGTCTATCGAGTCATCGCCGTCGGGCTCCGGGCTGTCACAGCCGTTAAAACCTTTCTTTCTTAACGTCTGAAAACACAATCGGGACAGTTTGAGATCTGGGAGTGGGGATGGGGAACGTGGGCAGCTGCCTGAGACGGGCAGGTCCCCCCCAAAACATCCCCTGGCCCATAAAGACGAGGACTCGCATTAACGCCTGCACCCCAAGACGGCGTTGACCTGAATGGGGTTAAAGAGTCAGGATCCGGCCCTCGGGTTTCGACGCTGGGGTGTCTCTAATTAAGGAATTACAACGCGGGGATGGATGGAGAGAAACTTCTTTGCTTTCAAAGGATCTGTTTACACCGGAGCTGAATTTGGCCCCGTACCAGCTCAGACGCATTCGTCACCTACAATTACAACAACGACAAGGAGGGGAAATAAACCTTAATGATATCTGCTCTCCTGCTAAAAATAGGGAAAACCTTCTTACCCATAGGAAAATAAAAACCAAAATAATAAGCAAAAAGCGGCTTGCCCCTGACAAAAACAGGTGGGTGGCATTTACCAAATGCAAAGGTTGCACCCCAGCAAGAGCATGGCAGGAGAGGGCACGCGGCCCGGCGATAGCCCGCGGGCGCCGGAGACGGCGGTGACAACGGGGGTGACACGGGGGTGACGGTGACAACGCCCGGGCAGCAAACCCCATGCCAAGACCCGGCTGCAGGAGCAGCAAAGGTCCCGGGCGCTGCTGCAGAGAGTTAACGAGGCACCGTCGTTAACGGGAGCCCGGTAATCGCGCGGCCGGGCTAGGCGTAGGGCATCGCGAAAACCCCAAAAGCTCCTCGTTCGTGCTCAGTAGCCAGTTTGCAGATTGCGTTACGCATGCACATTTAATCATCCTATTTTCAAAATACCAAAAGCAATTAGGCGTTATTATGGAACCATCACTTGCCAATTTATTTTTTTTAGAAGTCAAAGCTACAGAATTTCCTGGAAGTCTTGATCTCTTTTCATGCCAAATTCAGCCGGGGGGGGGGGAAGAGCCTTGACAATTCTCCTCTGTCTTCCTAAACAGTAATAAACATCTCTATTTTGAGGCCAAAACGTATCCTGGAGTGGCTCTTCATCTACCTGCGAGCTCCGGGAAACACGGAGCTTGTAGGGGAATTTTTACCGGAGTGGATAAAAGCCGGCGACGTCTCCAGAAGGGCTGGAAATGCCGCGGGCAGGTTTGGCTCGGCATCGGTACGGCACAGCCCAGCCTCTTCCCGCACCTCTTGCTTGGTGGACGCTTGCACCGGGTGGCAACGGCCGAGCAACAGGCACCAAACCCAGCCCCCAGCCTGGTTTCCATCCAGCTGAAGCTTTTCACAATATTTTCAATTAAAATTACTCCTTCGCGGTCGTAATTTTAACGCTCGGTACTTAGATTTCACCTGTGGAGGGGAAAAGTCCTCATCCACGTCCAGCTCCGCCAGCGAAAGATCTGGCTCCCTCTTGCCCATGGCGGCACCTGAAGCCCTGTTTGGTGTTACCAATAATTCCTGCTACCTAATAATTATTACCTAATTACCTAATAATAATTCCTGGTACCCCTAATTTGTGTTATTTATTGTCTCTTTTTAGAGAAGGGTGGTGGGAATCTGAGTCACTGGCATGAAGGGGAGGTTCCCAGAGCTTTTTTCTGCAGGTTCCCGAGGATTTTTCCCTATTATTTTTCTATTTTTGTATGTGCCCTCGTTTGTTTTTAGAATGGGCCAAAAAAAGGAACGGGTGCTGCCGGTGGGGAAGGAACGGCTTTGCCTTTTTTTTTTTTTTTTTTTTTCTTTTTTGGAAACTGCTTTTTGCGGATTTTTTTTTTTTCTGAAACCTTTTGTTTCGCCGATGCAGCCCGAAGACGGAAAGTTGAGCCCTTCTTTATTAAAAAAAAAAAAAGGTTTTTTTCCTCCTTCTCTTTCTCTTTCAGAAGCAAAATGGAAAAAGTCGTTCCATGAGCAGTGGAAGGGATGAAGGCAGGTTTCCTTCGGGCGCACGCAAAGGGTGCCAGCTGGGGAGACTCTCCGGTGTCTAATAGGGGGCTGTGCTCACCTCGCAGCGGTTCTCTTTGCAGGGACAGTAACTGGATCTCTGGCCTCTGCCCTCCCATCCCTGGCTGGGAAACATGAAGGTAATCCCTCGCATCCCTGGGAGCTCTTCTCCTCTGCCCAAGGCTGCCAGCGGGTTCAGGAGTCGGGGGGTCGGACAAGCAGCCTCCACCCCCCGGGACCCTCGAAGATGGGAACCGCACAACCGAATTTTCGAGAGGTTTCAGCCGAGCAACAACATCCTTCTCCTTTCTAAAATCTGCAGCAATGAAACGGCCCAGGAGGTTTTAAGCAGCTTCCAGTTCCCCCAGCTCTGCCCCATATTTACCGCCCAAAGAAAGCACAGGGAAAAGCAACGGGCCGCCGCCGCCGCCCGCGGCCTTTTGCCGTTCCTAAGCCCGCATGAAATCATCCCAAGGGTTGTTCCCACAACGACTCCATCGAGGAAAGCGGAGCAACGGGGTGAATGCAGCTCTGTTCGCCCAGACCCAGAAACCCCGCTCCGAGCAGCTCACAGCATCGCCCCGCTCCGCAGTTCCCAAGGTCTTTCCCCCTCTGTGGCTCTAATATATTTGGTGTCTAATACAGCTTCAGCTTAGACAGCAGCTGTTGCCTCGCGCTCTTCCCTCTCCCTGGCCACTAACTTCATAAAATTAGTCATAACTTAATTGTCTTTGAGACCCACATCTCCCTGCCGCGTTCGGTTCGCAGCATCCCGAGCTGTAAGGGGTCCCCGCTCCCGCAGGAAACTCGCCAGCAGCCCTAGGAAGCATCGAGCCGGTTGTGCACGGCAGGGAAAACCCTTCCCGGGCGCCGCAGGCAGCTGCCTGCAGCGTGAGATTGGATTATAACCCTGGCCACAGCGCGGGGCTGCCGGAGCTGCGGGCAGGGAGGGGAGGAAGGGGACGGGGACGGGCTCCAGAGCTGGCACGGCAGAGGACGGGGACGATCTGCGGCGCAGCGGGACGGGAAGCACCGGCGGCGGTGGGTGACCGGGGCCTGAGTCGCAGCGGGAGACGAGCCAAAGCAGCGCGGCTCGCAGCAATCTGCTGCTCAAAAAGAGAGCTGGGACAACAAAATGCCATTTCTAGCCATACGAGCGTCGGCTGCTGGGTTTTGCCTTTTTTTTTTTTTTGACAAAATTTCTGCTTTTTGACAAGATGCTGTAAAAGGAAAACAATCCTGCTGGAGCGAGAACGAAACCCAAAGATTCCCGTTTTCAGGATCTCTGCAAGGGCTTTTAGAAACGAGCTTTTCTTCTCGTTCCTCCTCATTCCCTTCTCCGGGGGAAAACCAGAAGATGCAGAGAGGCACGAAACTTTTTTGTCACTGGGTTGCATCCAGTGGAGCACGACTATTTTTCACATAAAGTAGATTTAAAATTCAATTCCTTCACAGCAGAAAATTTTCAAAGGAGACAAGCAGGGTGAGAACTTCACATGGAAAAAATAAAACCAAAGAAAAAAACGCTCATCATCAGCCCATCTCCCTGCCGCCCCCGGGTCCCCCCCAGTCATCGGGAGTCCCCCCATGGCGGGACCCGCTGCAGGTCCTGCTCTTCCAGGTGATGCTGGAAAGAAAACGATCCTAGCTCATACGGGAGCAGATTTCCAACCCGAAAAGGGTAAGAGAGCAGCAGGAAAGGCAGAACATGTGAGAGGAAACGATGCTCGACCAGGATGTGGTCGACTTCCCTTAGGGGAGGGAGACTCAACCGCCCCGGCTGGGGGGAAGTCTGGCTGAGGATGAGGGCAAGGATGGGAATGAGGATGAAGACGCGGCACCGGCAGCGGCCTCTGCACTTCGCCGCCTCCCCAGCATCCTGCAAAATGCCTGGTTTTACGCACCCTGGGGAAAAACAACCCCAAGGAGAATTAGGGAAAAATCAGCCCCTCCCCGGGATATTCAGGCAAGGAAAGGAAAGAAATCGCTGCGTGACTTTAACTGGCTCTGGAGCATCCCCGTGCCCCGCTCGCTCTGCTCTCGTCCAAGTCCCTTATCAGAAACTGGCACGTCAGGCGGGCTGCGAGGAAACGAGAAGCGACAGCGAGGAGCAAAGCCGGTGTGATCCCAGCCCGGGCGCGCACGTGGCACCCAGCGTGCCTGTCTGGGGGCCTCAGCTGTCCCCCGCCTGATTAAGGAAACCCCCCTCTCTGCATTAAGAGAGATTTTCTCAGACTTAAAAGCTTGCGATGGCCAGGACTTTGCCGGGCACAGAGAGAGCCGCAGGGGTTGCGTGGCTGAATCCCACTCCCGGCAGCCGCTGTCGATCCCTGACACAGCTGAAAGACGGAGGTGCCCCCACAGGGGATGGTCCCCGAAAGGCAGCCGGGGTGCTGAACCCCTCTTGAGCACTGGGTACACTCATCCCGGAGCAGCTCTGCCTCTCGCTAAATATCCAAGAGGATAAACCCCTCAAGGGCATCCCCGTGCAGCATGTGATGGGGTAGCCCCAGTGGCCGCCGCGGACTGCACCTCCCCAGGACAAAAAAAAAAAAGGGGGAATCTCACGTTTAGCGTTGTTTTAAAAGATAATCTGAACAGACCAACTTGTACCGCCCGGAGCTGGTGGTACCAGCGCCTTTGGCCCCAGCAGCCCCCCAGCCCGGCCGGGAGAAGAGACCCTGGCTCGGCCAAGCCTCCAGAGCCACCACTTGCTCCCCCTCTGCCAGGAAAACGAAATCAAAAGGCTTCTGCCTGAGTCCACCCTGGTCCCGATTGCTCCTCGGCCTTTCTGAGATGCTGCCAGACTCGTTCAGGGTTGCATCCCTCTGGTAGAGAGGGGCCACAGGCGTTACAGGGAAGGCAGACGCACGCAGCGGCCCCTTAAAATCCACTTAAAATCATATTTGGTAGCAAATTCACAGCCTGTGCCTTCACGGTTCTATAAATGCTTGATGCTGGGGGAGCTTCGAGGATGCGAAGATGCTCTTGGAGGAGTCAAGTTCAACTGGGAGCCACCAAGAAACCTGAGATAAACTGGGTCTGTGTCCGGTGGGGACGAAGCCGGGCCGGTGGGACCTGACCTGGGCGAGGGGAGATGGCAAGCGAGGAGATGGAAATCTGCACCAGGAGCAAGGGAGAGAAAACGGTAAAAAACTTAAAGCAGCCCTAACCCTGCTCCAAGATGAGACAAGGATGGGGAGGGATGCTCGAGAACCTCAAAATCTGCCTGCACCCCAGCGGCTTTCGCTCCGAGGCAGCTCTGCCGGCAAAACGTGCCGAGCCCGGCACGTTCCGGCTCTTTTTCTTGCCATCTACCAATATCCTTCCGCTCCCGATGTTCCTCTCCTTGGCTTTGGATGCAGATCCAGCTTTTCATGTGGTGCAAACACAGTATTTCTTTGGGTGCCAAGGACTGTGTGTAACTTGTCGGCTTGGGAGTGTTTGCATCTTGGACCATAAGGGAACAGAGAACGCTGCCCAAAATGTTTACGGTATTTTTAGGCCAAGACAAATCTGTTCGACGCTGCGAGCGCCGCAGTCTGAGCATCCCGGAGAGGCTGGGTGAGGCTGCGCTGACTAGCACGGCGGGGAACCGCGCCTGCAAAACCCTGGCGTTTTCACGGTGGACGGGCACTACCTGGCTCAAACGGGCCAAAAAGGACACTTTTGAACCATTTCTAAGGCCGTACACAACTGTGAGCTGGCAGAACAGTCTCCAAAGCCCGGCCAGGGCAGGCAGGTGCTGCCGGTTGCTTGGCCATGGCTCAACCCACTTCTGCTGCGGCGGCACGTCAGGGGGAACTGGGTGGACACCGAAGTGAAAACCTCAATCCAAACCTCTCAAAAAGACATGTTTCACGGAGAAAAAAAAGCATAAAAAGGCAAGATTTAGGAGGTAGGTTGGGTTTTTTCCTTCTCCTTCATGAAATCAAAGCCCCAGCGCGCTACCCAAGATGCACCAAAGGGGTTCAAAGGCAGAAGCGGCGCAGCCCGAGCGGCAGGGGGGGCCGATTCCTCCAGCCGCGCCTTGCAGAGGCGAACCGCCCGCGCGCGAGAAGCCGATTCCTCCAGCGGCGCTTTGAAGAGGCGAAGCCTCGTGCCACGCGAGGTCCGAGCGGAGCCGCTGCCTCCGATCCACCCAGCGCCCTCCGCGGGGCTGTGCCGCTCCGCTCAGTCACTGACGGCTCTGCGGGTGTTCATTTATGCCCTCCTGTAACGTCAATAATTACCCAGCCATGCCTTTCGCTTGCCCAGGCGTAAAGGCAGCTGCCCACATGCTGAAAAGCGACAGCCGAGCAGCTCCCAGCTTCGTGGGCAGAGGGAAGAGGATGCAACCGATGGCTGAGATGCCGCTGGCACGCTCCTGCAAGCCAAACGCCCGGTGCTCGAGGCCGACGATGCTCTGCCAGCGCCAAGGACGAGGACAAAGCGGTGGGGAGGGCCAGCGCAGGGTCACCACCAGCAAATGGTGGCCAAGCATCTCCTGCGATGCTGGCAGCTGGAGGAGGAGTGCAGCCTTGGCGTCAGTGAGGTTTGGACATGGTGCCCTTGGCAGTGCTGGGGTTGGACTGGACTCGTTGTCCTTGGAGACCCACAAAATGCAGCCGGACAAGCCCGGAGCAACCCCACCTACCCATGAGGTTGGCCATGCTTTGAGCAGGGGCTGGACCAGAGGCACCCAAAGGTTCCTCCCAACCTGAATTACTCTGCGATTCAGCCGCCGGTGCCCTCCTACAACCCCACCATGTCTGTCTGAAACAACGGACAGGCAATGTCACCAGTTGCACCAAGGCACCCCAGTGCCGCAGCCCTGGGAGATGCCTCCAAAACCATCCCCTGGTTTCCCTGGACCATGGGAAAGTCCCACAAAGCAAACCTGTACCTCAATTTTACAGCAGTAGATCAACACATAACTCAAGACAGCTTCAAACTCTACCACCCAGAACTGAGTATTTTCATAGGCTGGACCAAAAAGATGCAAAATCAGGCCGGCACCGAGTGCCGAAGATCTGCTCGCTCCCATCCCCACCCTGCACCGAGCTGCCGCATCCGGCTGCGGTGCCAGACCCGGCCCTGGCTCCACCACAACGGCAAAGCCGGGGAGCGGACAGGCGGCCTCACCTCGATGATGTCCGCGTTGGTCCGGCTCTCGTGGGGCTCGTTGTACTCGGTGTACTTGAGCAGCACCTTGTCCATGTCGGTGCTGGCATACTGGAACAGCTTGTTGGAGTGGTTGAAGATGATCAGGGCGATCTCGCAGTCGCACAGGACGCTTAGCTCGTAGGCCTTCTTCATCAAGCCGAACTTGCGCTTGGTGAAGGTCACCTGAAAGCAAGGAGAGCCGTGGTCAGAAGCCGTGCCCGCGCTGCCACGTACCCGACACCTCCCAGAGAAAACTGGGATGACCACTGGAGGAAGAGCAAAAGGAAGGGGAAGGCAGAGGGAATCTTCTGTCCTCAGTTTCCCCAACTGGACAACCACCCCAAGCTCTCCTCTCTCACCTCCCTCTTCCAACTGGTTCATATCGCTGCCTATTTTGGGATCCTCCAAAGGCAGACACTTCACAAGCACAAAGATGATTATCAGCGTTGGAAATCACATATTGCCAAATCAAGAGAAAATACATTTCAGCAAAATCCCCAGCAGAGCTACCATCTGTCCGGGGGCTGCGGGTTGTTGGCTTTTTTTTTTTTTTTTAAAGTTGAATATTCAAGCAGTGGAGATCTCATCCTCACTCGCTGCAGTAGCGCTGCGAGCACCCGACCCTGGAAGCCGCAAAGCCGGCGGGCTCGGCCGCCCCGATGCAGGTCGGGGTGCTGCTCCACACCGCTCGCCCACCCCATCCCTGACCCGCTCTCCTGCTTCCCAGCACCCACTTCTCCTGGGAGGCTCCACGTCCCCAAAGGCACCCCGAGCCCCCCGCACCGGGTGCCCAGCCGGCTGCTGCCTCCCTCTTGCTGTCCCCATAACCTTTTTGGGGCATTTTTCCGCATCGCCTGCCCACCCTGGGTCACCGCGCTCATGACTGCGTCCCCTGTCCTCCCAACCTGCCCTGCCTTGAAATAAGCTGTCATTAGAGCTGTCAGCTAACAAGGCGTCTTTCGCAGGACTGATCCTTGCGAGCTGGCTGGGGGACGGAGCTGGGCTCCAAAACCCCTTCCAGATGCCGGGCAGACGTTGGGCTGCATTTCCCAGCCCACGCTCGGTTCCCGCCGCGACACTGCTAACAGGACCCAGCTGGCGGGGAGGGAGCTGGTTTGGGGCTCTCCGTCCCGGCGGCAGCGCAGACAGCCGCTGACGGCCCCTCACCCCCCCTGCAACCAGCGGCACGCTGCCGGGGAAAGGCGCGATGCTTGGCCAATGCCCTCTCAGCAAATAAAAAAAGAAAAAAAAAAAAAGGAAAGTAAAAAGCAGGGAGGTCACTGCTTTGCTTTAAGCTTTGCTCTCAGGGGCGAAGCAGCAGCCCGGGGAAGGGCTGGAGATGAGCCGAGATGTCCTTGGGCACCGAGAGCCGCTCCCTCACCGCGCGTGTGCATGGGAGGGTTTGACCCCACTTAGGGCCTCCACCACGGCATCGATTTTGCAGCTGAACAGCTTTAATTTGCAGTGCTGAGGGAGGAGAGTGAACGAGGCCATTGCCTTCGCTCAACTCGAGTTAGTGGTGCTACAGTCGCGGTCCCAAGAGCTTAAGCTGGAGCTTCCCCGTCCGCACTGGTGGTGATGAGCATTGCCACCACAACGCCACCAGCAGCACCCAGCACGCACCCACTGGGGTCCTGCACCCAGCGCCGAGCACCCCTTGAGATGCAGCCACAGCCCTCCGTGCAGCGGGATGGCAGAGCAGGGGCAGCCCTCGGCACGCACGGCGCAGGCAGCTGCCCGTCCCTCCCCGCCATCTCCCAGAGATGATTAAGCAGTAACGAGATTCGGCTCTAATCGCCTCATCCCCTGGGAAGTGCAGGGCTGGCACCCCGCGCCGCTGCTCCCCGCCACGTGCGCCCGCTCCCACCACGGTCAAGCTGCGAGCGCCAGCGCTCACGTTGCCAGCGTCCGCCCCAGCTCCGGCGTGCTGTGAGACAAATTAAATTACTTGAGGGCCAACGCTGGTGTCCTTGGCAATTCCCCCTCCCCGGTGGCATCCCAGACCTCTCGGCCACCCAAAAATCACTGCTGCCAAGCGCTCTCCCTGGCTGCTCCCAGAGACAGAGCCGGCAGCACCACACCGCAGCCGCTGCCGCACCGTATGGCTTCAGGTGGGACCCAGCTGCGGTGTTGCTCCTGCAGCCTGCGGCAGGACAGGCACTAAAACCAACCCGGCCTCCCCGGCGCCACACCAGCAGCGTTTCTGGTCTCGTGTCCCCGCTAGAGACTGGCTGGGACCCCCCC